CATTCTGATTCACAGAAAACTAAATATCGATTCAGATTCTTTTGGTACTTTTTTTGTTTGTAAGTGACCACTAGAAAAAAGTACATGAACTTAAAAGGAACTATTTCGGCTTAATTGTAAATTTAATTTGCAAACAACATTTTTTTTTGTTAGTTCTATACGAATATGATGATATGGAGTAAATATAGAACGATTAATTGAAAATCACAGTAGTATAATTAAATAATTTTCGATAGTCTATGTTGAATTGATCCTTGTAATAAGTCATACTATTTGTCCGATTTTGTTTGCGAAAGTTCATGATGAATTATATTTTTCTAGAAAATTTCTTCGTTTATAAAATACGATCTAAGAGGATTGCTTGGAATCACAGACATGTTAGAAACGATTCATGACAGATATGACAGACGTTGATATATAAACAAAGATTGTATATCAATAATGGATCGTTACACTATATTAAGTACTATCTGATTGCATTTCCGAATAATTAAGTAAAAAGATAGTGAACAAGTGTGTTACAAAACAGATATAATAATTTATTTCTATAACTTAACTTCAATTAGCATCTCAATATGTTCCAAAGATCGAGTCGAATCGGATTTTGCTGATTCGTATTTGGTTCTTTTTCATTCGCTGATATGTTCAGTCAAAAAAAAAAGCGACGATTCACAATCATTTTATCGTTGGTAATATATACCATTAATATAGTTTTTCTTGTACAACTACATGAATTTATAATGAAATTTTTAAATGCTCTTTTAATTTGGCCAATAAATTAGATAAAACACTTCTGTGGTCATTCCCATTAATCTTATTACTTTTACTAATTACATCAGATTTTGATTTAGTGATTTTTGGTTCTGATACTTCCAGATTAGTGCGCATGTATTCATCATAAGTTTGAACAAGTAAAGTAACTTCATTGTTCAACTTCATAACTTCAAGAAAAAATTGAAAAGAAATTGTTTTCATTGCTTGATTATTTAGTTTTTGTAGGACGTCATTTTCATGAAGATCATCACATTGAACTGAACTATTAGGCTTAATACTACTGACAATTTAGTTCACTTTATTAAATCGTACAGTAAAACCAAATCCTGGACAATCTGGTGAACTGTATAAACGTACTTCACGTAAACTTATATCATTAATCGATGGTGATCTTTTGTTGAATTCTAATGTTGTTTGTTATTTTTCATCAATACTAACTTGAGAATGCTCGACTAATAGTGAAATAAATGAATAGATTAATAAGATAAATTCTAGACAACTCACTTATTTTATTTTTACGGAATTGTCGATTGTTTATTGTTGATTGAATGTTCGACAGAAAGGTGTCCTTTGTGTGGTTCATTTATTTCATTACTTTTTGTAAATAATTCTGAATTACATAAAATTATATGAAATGTGTCCATACTTGGTACAACTTGATGTTGAGGCGATGATTTGATACTTTCTTTTAGTTCATCATTAATTGGTATTTGGATTTCTTGTGTTTTATCATGTTTTTGTTTTCCATGACGACAAAGTTGAATTGAATATCGATCAGATAGATTAAAACATGTTCATTATTATTTCCTGATGAGAAAAAAGTAATTTGTAAATTTTCATTGGAAAATTAATCCTTTATTATAACTGAATAATAACAAAAGTAAACAAATAAATAAGAATTCTTATCAAATAAAAAGGAAACGAAAATTATCTGTCAAGATTAGAATTAATACTTTCACTTCATGTTGATGATTTATCCATAAGTTTAAGTGTATTCGACGATTGAATAGAAAGTATTAAACTTTGAGCATTATTTGCTATTTTTAAAAATATTTTCTTAGATATTTTTGACACTGGTTGTCCATTAATAGCTAAAACACGGTCACCAGGTCGTATATTAGCATCTGCTGCTGGTGAATTAGATTCCATAGTGATTATATAAATTCCAGAACGTCTATGTCCACTCATATATATACCAAAACTATGTTGACCTGAACATTTATTAAGAAGAATTGTATGTTGTGCAGTTATCATTATTATATTCTTCGTTTTATGTTTGTTTTTTCAATATAGCATAATATTTATTTTTGTGATTATTTAAAATAGCTATTATTCAACGTAGGTGAAGTTAGTTCCATATTCGAGTAAAACCTTCCCATATTCGTCCAGGAGCGTGTTCCAAGTGTTCCAACCCGGTTCCAAGTACAACTCAACGAGCTCTATCTAATGGTGACCTTGGATCAATCGTAGTCCAAACTGTTGGTGAGAAAATCCCAAAATAGCACCTTTTCACTATGTTATGGTCGCTAAAACCTTCCCATATTCGTCCACGAGCATGTTCCAAGTGTTCCGACCCGGTTCCAAGTAGAACTCGACGAGCTCTATCTAATGGTCACCTTGGATTTTTTATAGCCCAAACCAATCATGACAAAAATCCAAAATACTGCTCTTTTTCTATGGAAAAAGGCAAACCTACTTACTAAAGCCTTCCCATATTCGTCCAGGAGCGTGGTCCAGATGTTCCAGCCCGGTTCCAAGTACAACTCCACGAGCTCTATCTAATGGTGACATTGGATTAATCGCAATCCAAACCATTGGTGAGTAAATCCCAAAATAGTGCCTTTTCACTATGTGTATTGTCACTAAAACCTTCCAATATTCGTTCAGGAATGTGTTCCAACCCAGTTCCAAGTAGAACTCGACGAGTTCTATCTAATGGTGATCTTGGATCAATCGTAGTCCAAACCGTTGGTAAGAAAATCCCAAAATAGCACCTTTTCACTATATGTATGGCCACTAAAACCTTCCCATATTCGTCCAGGAGCATGTTCCAAGTGTTCCAACGCGGTTCCAAGTAGAACTCGACGAGCTCTATCTAATGGTCACCTTGGATTTGTCATAGCCCAAACCAATCATGAGAAAAATCCAAAATACTGCTCTTTTTCTATGGAAAAAGGCAAACCTACTTACTAAAACTTTCCCATATGCGTCTAGGAACGTTTTCGAAGTGTTGCAGCCCGGTTCCAAGTACAGCTCGATGAGTTCTATCAATTAGTGTATATGGATCGTTCACGGTCCATACGCTTTCTCCAGAAATCGTGAAATAATGGTTTACCACCGTAAGACTTAGAGCTATCGAAAGTGGTTGCTTTTTTGATTGGTCCTGTAAATCAGTTTCNACATAATATTGAGGGTGGGTGTGGGCGGAGAGAATAACGACACCTACATTGTTTTTGCTTATAAATAAGTTTTGACATGTACCATTGTTAGTTGAATACTCCATGATTTTGTATATGTCTGTATACTCGTCTGTTTTGTGCTCATACTCATAATGGCAATTGCCAAATCTGACCATGTGGTCATTATTTTTGCCTTTTCTTTTCACCCGTCGTTCTCTCATGAAAATGGAACGTCAGCAAAAGAAAAGATATGATGGGGTGATTTTTATGTCTACCCTATAATTCATCACTCATATTACCATTAATGATCAATGGTAACATGCACAATTAATGTATATATTAATAATGTTGTATCCATAAACGTACAATGAGACATGTGTTAATTGATTTATCTCAATGTATACTTGTTTGCCCAATTGCAGCTTAATTAAAACCATCTTCTAATCACTCTTCAGTAGCCAAAACATTATCGAAATTTCTCTTCTCAGTTAACCATTTTCAGTTATGAAAATAAATGATTTCTCACGTAAAATCATTCACTCTCCAATGTTACTATTAATTATTCTTTAATTTATTTAAGACTATTTTTGACGACATGTTTTCGAACAGGAAAGTAATGTGTTTCTTTTATTGTTTTCCATTTTGTTTTAGAATTTTCACAGCACGTAAGTCTTTTTTTTATTTTAGGCGATTTTTTCTCTCTTAAGTAAAAGTTTTTTTTCTTATTACTTTTCTTTTGATTGTTTTCTGCTTTCTGTTTCAGATCGAATTATTTCAAGTAAGTAACTTTCATTTCTTTTAATTTTTGTTTATTTTGGTTGATTTCCGAGAAATGAGGGTAGTTTTATATTTATTTATTATTTCTTCTTTTCTTGTTTGAGATAGCAGTAAAGTCAGTTTCTTTTAGATTCTCCATGAATTTTTCTAACTGAATATCACTTTTTTCTTTTTAGTCATCAACCTCATCGCGTCGTTCATTAATAACTGAATAAACTTTCTTTTTTTTATTCAAAATGAGAGTCGAGAGAATGAAGAGGAATGAGATTACATGCAGGTAAATGATTGTTAGGAGACTTGTTAGAGTAGGGTGGGATAGTTAGTCTCTGCGAACGACTCCATCAGGCTAGTTTCTGATTGTATGCACGAATAGAATAGGAATAATATTCAGTCCTTCATTTGAACAGCTGTTTCTTTTCTATTCGTCGTGATTTATTTGATAGGGAGAGAAAAATTAACCATAATAATGAGTCTATTTGAAAGAAAATCGTTGCACTCGATTATTATCCTTATCGACGACATAGAGATTACCATGTCGATTAAAGGACAAATCCGTTGGGCTCCACAACTGATTTACTCCTTCTTCATTACTGTTTCCGCTCGCAATGACAGTTCTCTGTGTTGCTCCTTTAGGCCAACTACCACTTGATGATTTCATCTGTCTGCCACATAGATGATATCCACAGTATTGACGAACAGTCCGTAAGGAAACGACAATTGTGTCAGACCACTCCCTTTGCCTTGGCTTCCAGCGACGGCAATGCCTTCTGTTGCATCTTCATCTCATTTCATTACACAATGATTTTCGTTGTGCGACACATAGACAGTCTGCTGCCGATTGATAAAAACGTAGGTGAAAAAGTTGAGTTGATTGAACCCTTCACTTTTTCCATGATCCCCGATCACGACATTTCCATTATTGTCTCCTGTTTCATACCGTCTTACTTCATGTTTCTCGATGTCAAAGGTGCAGAGACATCTCTGATCATTCACAGTCAATCTCCCACAAGCAATGTCTTGGAGAAGGATTTGAATGTGACTGTAGGTGCGAGTGAGTGATTCATCTTCACACCCACACCCCAACCTACTTTCAATCCCTGATACATCATCAGGGATGAAAAGACTTTTTAGTTATAGTAGCATTATATGAAATAATAGGCGACAAATATTTTCGCCACCTCAAGTGTTTAATATGATTGTCATCAAAAGTACATGACAAGTGCTAACAAAATATAAAACAAGTTAATTCAACAATCCAGTGTATTGTTTTTATATAAAATAATCTTTTTTGTTTGTATTTTACTTGAAAAGAATAAATGAAATATGATAAAGATTTAAATGAACTTGTGTCTATTTTCTTTTGCATCAGTAATAGAGAATAGTTAACTTAGATATTGTTCGCAACCAAGTAATAGATCGTAGTATTTTATAGCTAAATATAGTATTGAATATTATTTTCCTTCCTTTTAACTATAAAGTTCTCACTGTCTCCCGGCTCCTATATAAATTCCATCTCTTTGTCATTCATCATGTAATGTGGAAAAATATAAATCTACTACCGAGGACGAAAAATCCTAAAGTTGATTTTCATAGTATCCGATGAGATATCTCAGATAATCCGACTAAGTCAAATAAGCTTCAAAAGCTGGAAAATATTGGATACACTTAGGATTCGATGGGATCATGTTGAATTTACATCTGGACATTAGACATCGTGTGATCCTTCTCGTTATCTTCATCCTTCTTCTTGTACAATTAACTGAAAATTAATAGTTTAAAAGTACTTTATTTTAACTTATTATTACATTCAATTGTTGAATAATTTGAACCAATAATTTATACTCAATATTGATTGACTTTTTGTCATTGCGTAATCCAAAACGAAAATAAAATAATTTATATTTACTGTTTGCGGAGTTGTATAGTTCCCACTCTCAACGTCAACAATCGTTTAGGAGAATGAATATTTAATCTTGATTATTAGTGGAAAAAGCTTCATGTTATTATAAAAAGTATTTCAAATATATTTCACATGTTCTCTAATAATCACTAAAAGCAAATATGGCAGCGGCAGATTTATACCTATGATCGATATCTCTGGTTCGAACCCTACCTGTGTGTGGGTGACCGATGACTGCTCATGACGATGGTATTCTTCGAGTATTACTTTTCAATTACACATTAATCCGGTTTGGACCGAATGTATAATCGTGCTAATGTCAGTGCAGTAAATTAACAATTTCAGCTATTTTTTACATAATTTTCAAGGACTAATTCTTAAACAATTGATACTTCGTTTTTCTTTGTGATTTGTTTAGCAATTGATAGATCAATAATTTCTTCTAAAAGTATTATTCCAATATAGCATCTTCTATACTATGAATATCTGTACTAAAACATCATAAATTTGTTATGTAATCTATTTCGAGAATGATCTGTGAATTTGTTTGATCAATAGCTGTCGGAGTACAAGATTTCTTAGTAATTACAGCATTATTCATTAGCTTAACACAAAATTAAAAAAAAACCTTAAAAAATAAACTTTCTCATGGCAATTCAATTGAGGTTTCATTGATTTATAGATGTAATGTTTTATTTTCATAAGACCAACTACTCTAGCTGGTGTCTGTTCGTGAATAAATTCAACCATATTATTCATCTCTATAGTTTTTTTAATCTTTTATGGTAAACAATTTTTAAAATTAAATTTCACATAGACTTACTTTGATTTATTGGCTTATAACTAGCAATTAATGAATAACGATTGATATACAATAATTGACCTGTGAATAAGTTATAGATTTGTATATTTATTTTAAAAAGAAAAAAGAATTTTGTTTACTATTTCATTGGTTAAATCGAGTTAACAATGAAATAAATTTCAGTAGTTCAAGTTTGTCAAATTTCTTTAGGTTATTTATAATAACAATCAGAGTTGTATTGGATTATCGTACAAACAGAAAAAAACAACCGACCATTGTGTTTGATGCAATCAAGTTTGTGTAATGGAATATAATTTTACACGTGATAGAAAACTTGAACTTTGCCAATATGTCGAGTGCAACAGGCGAAACTATT